AAGTAATATTTAATTTACAAAGAACTACTTGTTTAGGTTGACAAATATTTTTAGATTTCTTAATATTCTGAACTCCTACTAGAAGAGAAAAACTTCTGATTTAGGCTTTGATTATTCTATAAGTATCACATATATCTATAGATCTTGGTGGAGGAGAAGATGTGAGAAAGGAAAATAGGGGGGTGTGGAGGTAAGTGTGGATGTGAAGAGGATTGAGTAAAAGAGATATAAATTCTTCAAATTTTATATGAGAGAATGTAGAAAGGAATTTGTGTTTGAGTTAAGGTTAATTGACATGACTTTATAATTTGATCTCACATGATTACAAATTTTATTTTATTTGGTAGATGTAGATGAAACATTCCTAAGCAAGTAAATCTTTTATTGGTTTTTTGAATTTGTTCTTCGATTATTGATTTTTATTTTTTTTTCTTAATTTCAAAACCTTTTCTCTCTCTCTCAATGCCATGTAGCCTCTTGTCTCATTTTAGAGAGAAGAGAGAGTTGAATTGCAAGTCCCTTCCTTTGTCATGCACATGAAAGCCACATATAAATTCTGTGTCTTTCTCACTGCCTGTTGCTCAAGTATGTGTCCCATAGTTGAACCTGCACCAATGATCTGTTTTTGCTTCCTTGCATGTCAAACATTCCTGCAAGAATAAGCACAGATACCAAGTAAGCAAGAACCAAACCAGTTGCAAAAGGAATCTTGATTCATGGTCCAGAAAAAAAACATTATCAGATCAAGAGGAGAGTTGCCTGTTTCACAGTTAGATTTGCTTGAAGTTTGTATGATCTGAACTATATCTGAAAGAACAAGTCAATCAGATTTGAATGGTTCCATCTCCAAATGATCCTTTCATGTATGTGCTCCTACCAACTATTAGTTCATGGATGATGCAAAATCCATGTACTGTGCTTGTCCACAACAAGGTGATAGGACTTAATCTCTTTCAGCTGTTTGTGCTGCTAGGACAGTCTTAAGTGAATCAGAAAGTGTACATATTCTTGTTCATGTCTTGGGGTGCTCTGTCATAAGAATCAACCACTAATATATATGAATTCTCACGAAAGTGAATTTAGTTCAGACTTGTGATTGAATTCTTGATGCTTTCTTGCGTCACAAGTAATCAAAATGGGGAGGGAAGGAACAAGTCTCTGTACAATGGACTAGAAAAGAGTATGATGAGCAAGTTGCAAAGATACCAACCTGAATGAAGAACAGTTTCAGAAGCATGGGCCACAAAGATCAAACTACAATGGTTTCAGATAACTTGAAGAGAACACATTCTAGTAACAAAGATTTTCTGAATGTAAGAAATGAATTCAATGTAAAGTAGGAAAAACAAAGTCGAGTAATTGATGGAAAAGCTAAAAGATCGCCGGCCAGTCTGAATTTTCTTGGCTTTTGAGAAGCATATATCAAAAGAACTGTAGCTATAAAGCTGTGGTAAAGAACAAACTGGACTTTCTCATGGCATTCCCTTAGCTTGCATCTATATCTGTCTCCTCCTTTAATTCCTTGGTGATACAGTAATCACTATGTATGAATAAAGTTTGATATGCCCATCATAATTCAAACTTCAAACTCTGATCTTTCTCAGTGGAACTGCTCCTGTCTTCCTTTCTTCCCTAACACGAGCAACTGGGACTCTAAGACTCTCTATTGGTCACACAACATCACTGTCATGTGCCCCTCCCAACATAGACATCAGTGCATTAGGTGTGAGTTGCAGGAAATGTGTGTTTCCCTTGCATCAAGTCTGACCCCTGACAGGGATGTCACTGCTCCCGGCGCCTGCAGCAACAGCACCTTTCTTCCAACCCTCTCCCTTCTACTTCTCGTGGTACTCCATGCAGCCTCTCTGTCTTCAATGAACCACCAGTTCTCTCTCTCTCTCTCTTGATTCAACTACAGCACTGTGCACCCCAGGGCATCTGTGGAGCTGCTTCCTCCTCTCACTAAATGCCCTCACTGTTTGTCTGCTCACTTATACCTTGAACCTTGTGTGGTGGTTGGAGATGAGTGTGTCCTTGACAAGTGCTTCTTCTCCAGCTTCTACAGGACACAAGAAGAATAGTACTGTTGGCATTTAAAACATCATAAGGGAACATGAGGTGTAGAGAGAGAAAGAGAGAGAAATTAATTCTAGTTGTAGCAGAAGAGGACCAGCTTTTTGGAATATCAGTGAGGGTTGCAGGTTTATCTTCCACTTGTTATCTGTGCATTATGATGTCAACTTTGAAGGAGAAGACAAATAGTTCATTGGGAAACAGGAGCACTGTTTCCCTTTCTTCATCTGCACTCCTATGTGTTTGGTCCTTCTTTCTCATTTACTGTGAGTATTGCAGGAAGAAAAATACTTTTGTCACTATATAATCTTAATTTTTCTTACAATGACTGAATGCTTATACCCCTTAAAACAATCCCTCTAAATGGTACAAGAAATTGCAATCTATGATATGTATGCCTTTTTGCTTGTAGTTACAGCTTATATTTATTGATTACCACAAGCTATGACATAACATGATTTTAGGATGTTAATGATGATAGTATTAATTAGTTACAAATGGAATCTAAAAGTATTTTATAGAGATTGTTAATCACAGTGATTAGTTGTGATGACAGGATAGCATAGAACTGTACTTCACAGACAAATTAATGCTAAGAAATTGGTAGATGTTATTGCATGCTTTGGTTTTGTGTGAGATCTTTATCTCACATCCTAAGCAAGTTAAGATTAAGCTTAGAGTTTGATGGGTGTATTATTATTAAATTTAATTTAAATATCTTAAATCAATGATTCAGACTCAATGAAATTAATATATTAATTATTCTACTAAGTTGGATCGCAATAATTGACATCAGAACTAATATAGTATTAAAGTGAAATTTGAGTAAAAAAAAATTATCTATGACACATCAGAATTAGAGCCTTGACAAAGATTATAATACTCTGATTTAGTCTAATATCATAAGTGGTCTAAGTCTCAGATAGAATTTAATGATTATATTATTATTAATTTCAGCTCAAATATTTTATGACAAAAGTCTAAATTTAATAAAACTAACAAATAAATTATGCATCCATACAATGGAACAAATGGGAAGAATAACATAGATTTGCATTCAACCTCTTGAGGATAGCAAGGAAACACACAGAATCTTGCAAATCAAGACTCAAACCATTCCCTTCTCTCTCTCTCTCTCTCTCTCTAATCTTAGTGGGTGCAGACAGCATCTAGACCAAGTCTCATTCCTTGTCTTTGGGGTAAATATTCTCTTAAAGTTTCCTTTTCTCTTGCTTGTTTGTTTGTGATGACTTGGTGTGGGTGTTTACTGTGTGCTCTATATTTCTAAAGTTATGTTTAGAAAGAAGATCTACATGGACTTCATATGCTCCAACCAAACTTGTTCTGAAAGCCCAAGTGTTGTTCTTTAATATATCTCAAGGATCTTATCCTCTTGATCTCTTCTCTTTTGCCTCCATTTCCCACTGTTCCCAAGGTTCCTCCTCTTGATTGTTCTTTCTTTGATGCCTTTTCTACTATTCTTTGCAATTTCGTGATCATCTCTCTCTCTCTC